TTTGTTGGCTCTGACAATGTACTATCATTACACAAGATGTTACCCTTGTGGGAAACTTAGCAAAGAGTGTCTGGGATCTCTTTGTATTATTTCTTACAAATGCATGTAGATTTATAATTATCTGAAAACAAAATGTTTTCTAAAAAGATATGAAACTGCAAACTAGACAACTAGTAATTACTAAATAGTAGACAATATCCTTTAGGAATGAAGGACATTGTTACTAAATAATTACTAAATACTGTTTGGAACTAGTGAAGAAAAATAGCTCTCTCTTTTGTCACTTGCTATTCCCATTCTGGAGCTACAAACTGTCCTTTTTTCTCTAGGCAACTCTATTGGGAGGCTCCCGGCAGGCTAGCACTCAGGAACCAAGCCCCTCCACTATGGGCTTCTCCAACCCCAGAAAGGCATGGACTTTAAAGACGTAAAACAAAACTCCCTATTTGCCTGAAAAAGATAGCTGTTCACAAAGTTCATTCAATGTTTAAGATGTTCATAAGATTAGGTTAATCACTTTCACTCTCTGAAGTCAACAAAATCTACCCAAGTAGTAAGTTCCACGGAAATGGTGGCCCGGAGTGGGAAGAGTTAAGGTCTTGCTTACTGAAGCCTCACTACACATTCCAGCTCTTCCGTCTGCAAGGCAAGCCTGTCCAGGCAAAACGAACACAAGCCACAGACCTAATTTTACATTTTTCTAGTAGCCACACTTATAGCAAAAAGAAAACAGGTAAAAATAATATTTTTATATTATTAATATAAATATATTTTATTTAGTGGCCAACAAACGTATGAAAGATGCTCATTATCAGGTAAATCAACCTATGAGATATCACATCACATCCATTAGGGTGGCTACTATCAAAAAAGAAATAAAAAACCCACCAAAGAAAACAGAAGGTACCAAGTGTCGGTGAGTAACTGGAACATGGAGTAATTGGAGTAACTGGAACTCTAGTGCACATGTTAGTGGGAATGTGAAATGGGGCAACCTCTGTGAAAAACAGCAACAGTGGTTCTTCAAATAATTAAAAACAAAATTACCATGTAATTCAGCAACCCCACTTCTGAACATATACCCCAAACAATTCAAGGCTAAAACTCTTAACAGATATTTGGATATCCATGTTCATACTACTCACAACAGCCAACAGGTAGAAGCAACCCAAGTATCCATTAATGGAGAAATGGGTGAACAAAACGTGCTATGTACACACACTGAAACATTGTTCAGTCTTCAAAAAGAAGAAAATTCTGATATGCTACAAGATAAAATGAACCTTGAGGACATTGTGCAAAGTGAAATAAGCCAGTCACCAAGAGATAAACAGTGTATGATTCTACTTACAGGAGGTACCTGAAGTGGTCCGACTCAGAGATAGAAGGTAGGCTGGTGCTTGTCAGGTGTTGGGGGAAAGGGTGAGTAGGGAGTGGTTTACTGGGTACAGTTTCAGCTTTACAAGATGAAAAGGTTCAAAGGTTCTAGAGACTGGCTGTACAATAATGGGGATGCAGTCAACACTACTGAGCTGCAAACTGAGAAATGGATGGTGAAGGTGGTTTTCTGCTTTTTTTTTTTACTGCAATTTAAAAAACTTATATTTAACCCATATATGCAAAACATCACTTCCATATGCAATTCTTATGAAAATGACTGAGACATATTACATTCTTTTTTGCGTATTAAATCCTCAAAATTTATCAAGAGCTGACACTAATAGCAAATCTCAATTTGGTCTAGTCTCACATCAAGTGCCGGACACACAGGTGGCTTCCCTATTGGCCAGCAGTGTTGAGCTGGACCTTACTTGCCACCCCTATGTGACAGGCTTTACAGGTGGATCTCAGAGATTAATATTAATAGGGGCAGAGGGCAGATTCTGAGGGAAAAAAAGGGAGGGAGCAAGTAAAGACCCTGCCCTCTGTCCTTTAAAAGGCTACTAGGCAGAGCTGGACTGACTTTGGACATTTCCTGGGCTCCTCCCCTTTGTCAGGCACTTACTAGGATGGGCAGGAGTTCATGCCTCCTCCTCAAAAAAGGGGGTCCGACAGTTACAAGAGAAGTACCCACAAGACTCCAAGGGGCAGAGACAAGAAAGCAAGTAACTGAACTCTGATGTGTCAAGGAATAAGTGAAAAGTTTAAGACATTTATAAACATGACATGAGAGAGAGATTAATAACAAGCATCCAACTATATCCTGGACATTCTCAACACTTGTTTCCAACTGCACTGATTATATTTCAGAATAAGACTTTGTACTGGATTTAATAAACAATTTGTATTTAAAACACCCCAAAAGGCAGTTGGTAAACCAACACATGTGGGTGATTCTGATTAAAAGAATCAGTTATTCACAGACTAAGAGATCACTTGTCATGTTAATCTTACCCAGAGTGCAAGGAGAGCGAAACTGAGGAAAAGTATAAAAAACTCTACCTCCTCAGAGATAAATATAATGTTCTTTAAACATGCCTTCAGAAAAATCAGAGACATGAAGTAAAACAAAGACATTTCTAGTACAAAAACCTAATTGCTATGCATCCCACATAAAAACCTTTCTCATTAAAACAAAGATGCGAGAATAAAACCTTAAGGCACACTGTTCTCTACCTCAAGTTGCTGAGCAGAAAACTATTTTGTGGTTGAAGCAGCCCCTAGCTAAGGAGAACTTCTTTACAACCCTCACATTTGTGTTCTACTGGTTCAAACCAATCATAAAGACTTCTTTGTGAAAAATGTATTTTGCAATACATTATCAAAAGCTTCATTGAAGATCTTAATGGATATGGTTGAGTAAGGAATACTAAAAATGGCTATCAAGATAAGAGAACCACTTATCTATGCAGCATATTTTAGGGGCCTTCAGGCACTGAACTAAGATTCTGAGAATGGCCAGAAAAAAAGTTATTTATGGACTACAAAAGTTGTAATTTTTATGCTTCCATTTAATAAACTTACATCTTGCTAAGCTTCCCCCCCCCGCCGCTAATTCTCCCCTCCCCTGAATCCATCCAAGTCATCCTCTACCAAAACAAATCTTCCAATAACTTATTAACACCAAAAACTTACCTTGGTACACTAACTTCAAAGTCCTTACAATTTCTCATTTAATCCCATGCATTAAACTCTAAGTTATCATACCAATCTTATGAAATGTAGTTAATACTATAAAATTACACATCTGCATCCATCACTGTACTTCATAGGTCTAACCATTAACTTCACTTAATAATCTAGATTGTGATCTTTAAAGCTCTAAATCTGTTATCTCAAGTAACAGTGCATATCTCATAATTAGCTTGTTAAATAGTATTTGTCACCAAGAAAAACACTCACGCCTGTCTTTACATTAACAAATATACTAACTCACTAACTATTCCTTATTACTAGAAATAGGGAAACTATTTTTATGCGTTAAAATACCACTTGATGCATACAGGTCTATAGCAAAAAACCAGTAACTTTTAGAGGGTCCTTAAAATACACAGATTTTTAAGCATGTATAGCATAAACCACCATATTTAGTGTAAGCAAGAATGGTGTAGGTTCATAGATATGCAGGACCATTTTCATGGTTAGAAGAATAGTTAGAAGCACCAACAACTTTTATAGCTGAAATGAGTTCAAGAGCAGTAGTAATAGCAATAAGACTTCTAGCTAAGAAGGGACGTTATCTCCCAAAATTTGGCAAGAAATGAATAGCCAACACATGTAGCTGTTGGTATTTTTACCACTTTTGCCTGCCGTTTCTCCGGTGTGCCCAATCCCTTGGAGGTTCTTTCCAATTCTGTAACATGGGGACAGGCCTGCTCATTTTATCTTACTAAGGATTATGAAGACAGAGCTGGATAGTACTTACAAAGGCAAGAGCTGCCAGTGTGTTTCAGAATTCAAGTATCTAGTCTGATGACTTTTAGCCTTTTGGCAAGACAAGTGTGACCTAAATTTTAATAGTTTATACCGGGTTTCCTAATCAACAACACTACCAACTTACTTATCTCACTTATTTAAAGCAGGCTAGTCTGGACAAATGGTTTTAAGTGACTGTGGTAAATACTGATCCAGACATGAACCTTTTCCATTAGTAAGGAACAGCCAGTTAAAGCAACATGGACCTACACTAACAGAATTATGAATAAAGTCACATGTGGGAGGTTCAAGTGTCAAATCAAACCTGTACATGTTTGTTTGGTTTGTACAATGTTTTCAAAAATATAAATTAGTTGCCAATGTTGAAATAGAGTATTTGGCATCAAAATCTTCATTCCTAGATTATCTTGCAGTATAGGAAAACCTGCCACCCTGAAACAATATGCCCTCACAGTCACAATTAGGGGCAGCCATAAAGTACAAGGGGTAAATGCTCTTCAGCTTGCTAAACTTCCACCAACTACTTAGTATCTGTCACTCTTGGTGCAGATCCTAGAACTGCCTTTAATCCCTGACATAAAAATCTACAATGTAATCTCCTAAATACCATGTCCAAAGCTTCTGCACAATAAACCCAAAGAGGAATTTAGGCAGAAAACAAACCATTTTCATGGTTCTATGTTGGTACTGCTTATATGAACTGGCTCATTTTTTGAACATGATTAACTTGGCTCATCTCTTTCTTCATTATTTTGGTTAAGTTACATAGATATCTTCTGTAACTGACCAGATTCCTTTTAAGCAAAATGGTTTTAATATGTAAAGCCTAGTGGTTAAAATAACACACCATGGATATTATGCTGGAGCTTAGTGAAGGCAGTTGAGATTCAAGCTCTACCTGCCTAAAAGTTAATGTTTGGATCTCTATTCATGCTGCCACAAAGAATAACATTTTACAGAAGTGATAATTTGACAGTATTATTTGACACATTCTCCATTCTCAACAAATAATGGGATAAATCAATTACGAGAGTCTAAAAGGGGGCTTTAAGTACTATACACAGTTTTTAAACAGATATTCAAACAACCACATGCCAACTACCTCTTACCCGGGTATTGCTTACCCATTGCACTGAGATAATGGTTGAAGGCCTGGCAAGGAGGACTTGGGGTTTGTGTTGATTTGTCACAACTCATGGGTGCTGGGCTCCTGTCTGTGTCAAAAGAGAAATACCCACTGGAGGATCGAGACAGCAGGGAGGATCTTCTTACAAAGATGAAAAGCGGGGATCTGGTAGCAAAAGGACCAGGGCTGGCCGGTGGGGCCAGTGGGCCCTGAGGGCTGCCTTGGGGGCAGCGGTCCCCTTCGACTTCCGGATTGCCTTCGGGATTACCTTGGGGCTCTGTATGTAGAGAGGTAGGGGCCCCAGGCCTGAGCTGGGGAGGTCTCTCCGCAGGTTGCAATTGTCCACCTTCTCGGTCACACTCAGAACCTACATCTGAAGGTTGCTTTGCCATTTGGTCTTTTTTTCTGCAAGTAAAATCAAAAGAAACACTATTATCTTAGGCAAAACAATTACAAAGAATAAATAAAATTAGCTACCTTTCACCCTCTCCTCTATTAAAAATTCTTAGAGGAATTAATCTCAAATACTTTAAAATTAAGTTGCTACCTTGTATGCTTCCCTGACACTCTCCCAAATAAAGGGTGAAAAATGCAGCTAAAACAACAATGCTATTGATGATCTTTTCTGGTCGGGAGTAAAACTCGGTCTAAACTTCATACCATCAAACAAAACACAATGTCAACTGCTTTGTGGAACTGGTGCTTTTACACACACACACACACACACACACGTGCGTGCGTGAGCGCAAGCTTTAAGAGAAGCAGCTTGCTTGCAGTCTTTTCACATGTGTTCTGTGCTCAGAACCGACTAGAATAAGTCAAAAACTCCCAGCGGGCTCTGTTTTCCCGGGATCAGATACCGCGCTGGAGCACAGGAGCTGGGGCAGATGCAGCGATTGCAGGCGGCTGGCCGCGTTCCCCGCTCCGGCCCCATTGTTTGCCGAAAATGCTGAGGGCAGCAAGTCTGGGGAAGGTTTGGCAGCGGCCGTCAGTCGTAGTAAGTGCGTCACAATAGAGTTTGTAACTCAGAGCTCCGCTCAGCCTGGCTCTGGCGCTCTGCGCCCGTGCTCCCTCCCGCTCTGGGCCCGCGTGCCGCACCGAACTGGATGGAACTTCTCCAAGGTGCAACCGTACTGTAGGTGAACACCTCCAAATGAAGGACCCCCGAGGCCGTGCCCGGGCACCTCCTAAGTTCACATCTAGTTTTGCACGCTAGGCGACACCGGCGCTCGCCAACTTCACCCCAAAGACCCTCCCTTCAGAAGGCAAGCTCGCCGAAACTCACATCCGCCCCTTCCCCGCAGAGCGTGAAGTCCAGGCCCCGGTCCTGCGGCGTCCAGACCGCGACCGTCGCCGACCCGGCGGCCCCTGAACGTCTCCACGAAGGTAACGCGGGAAACAAAGCCCAGGACTCGGGTTCAGAGTCCCCGGGGCAGCGCAGAGCACGCGCCTTCCCGCCCGCCAGCCAGCCGAGGACTCCGCGCGCCGCGCTTCTGGCCCGCGCTACCCCGGCCGTCCCCGACGCCGCAGCCGCCGCCGCCGGGAACATCCTCCGCCTCCTCCCGCTCCTCCCCTCGCGCTCAACGCCCGCCGCCGCCGGCACCGCCGACCTCCGCGCGCCGCTGGCGCCGGGTGCCCGCGCTCCCAATTGGCTCGAGCGCGGTCTCTCCAAGTCCCAGCCAATCCGCAGCGGTGGCGGGGGCGGCGCCTACGGGTCAGGCCGCCAAAGGCAAGGCGATTGTTGACAAACTCGCCTTGAGCGCTTCTCTGGCTACCCAGGCTGCGGCGGCAACCCCGCCGAGGCTTTGGGGGCCGAGCTACCTGGCTATTCCGCCCCGTCCCTGTGCTCCATCGCGACCCCGCGCAAGTCTCAGCAGCTCCCGCTGGCCCGGGCAGCCAGTCACCTGGAGACAAAGCAGGATCTGCACTCTCCCCGGACCGGCAGGCTGGTCTTCTGTCTGGTCAACAGGAATGAGATCCCAACGGCCGTCCCGGGCCCAGCTGCAGCATTTATCCTTGTCCAACAACTTCCTCCTCCCTCTTTCTCCCCGTGAGCTGCCAACGCGCACCAAATCTATGCAGCCAACCCCGGGCACGGACGCGCACATCGCGACCACAGCAGACTCAGAGCAAATCCACACCCCTGGCCTCGGTCCGTCCATCACCAGCGCCAACCCTGGGGTAACAGGTCCCAGGGGGCACAGCGCTGCCAGCTTGCACAGCAAATGGGGCCCAGTAGTCTTGGGCACGTTCAAGCCATTAAGGTAGCCCGGTTCCACCGACCAAGCAGGTCCAGCTGGCCACAGCTCGTTCCCTGCCTGATCCCGGTGGTCAGGGGAGGACCTAGGTCTCTCGCTGACTGTGGATTGTGTAGCTAGCAAAGTCCGCAGAAAGCCCGCAAACCAAGCAGCGTCCCCAGCCACGTCCGAAAGCGCGAATGCAGCAGCGGCCCCGAAACTTCGGCCTAAATGAGTAAAATGAAAAGCCCAGTCTCGTGAGTTAAACCACCACTGCCGTTCCGCAAACCCTCCGCAACAAGCCCGTGCACCCAAGGAGAGCCCAGACAAGAAAACCACTCGCACCGCGCGGCCGCTACTCGGGTCGCTGGGGTAGGCGATGCGACTTCCCGGTTGGGCGGTGAGCCCTGCACCGTGGACTGCCGCCGGCGCAGAAAGCACGCGCTGCCTCTCCCAGCCCGGCCTGCGACCACCACGCCCGCGCGCTTCATCCCGGCCCAAGCCATATTTCGGCCAAGAGCCGGCAGCTTCTGTGCTAACGACCCTTCCGCAAAGTTGACCTCCCCGGGAGGCAACCTGACCAACTCGGATCGCCACCTCCCGCCAGGCGACAAGCGGGACCAATACGATGGTCTCCGCTTGCACGTGCGCGGGAAGCGAGCAGTAGGTGGAGCCGTTCGAGCTCCGGTGCCTATCTTCCATCGGTCCCCGGCCCGTTCCCCGGGATTCGGAGGTATTTGTTTACCTTGCGTTTCTCAGTCCGAGAGTCAGAGTCAGACATTGGGGGCACGAGGGCCAGGGGAAGGGCGCCGAGGCGGTGGCGGCGGGAGCAAGGCGAACCGAACAACCTGAGACGGTGCTGACTGTTGTGTGGCAGGGCTCGCAAGGTGGCTGGCTGCAAGAATGCGGCGGTGGCCCAGCGTTAGGACAAGCTCGGATCCCGGAGGCTGCGCGGAACGAAGTGAAACCTGCGCGGCCCTAGAGCCCTGCTCAGGCTGGCGGCCCCGCACCAGCGCCCAATCAGCGTGGGCTCCGCCCCTAACAGGTCCCGCCCCGGCGCGCGGGCCGGCAAGCCCCGCCCCCCCCGCGCCGCTGCCGCTTGAGCTTGCAGGCTCGGACAGGTAAAGGCGAGGGGGCTGGCTAGGCTTTCTGCGGCGCGCGCCTGCCGACCCTGGCATGTTTACCCGGCTAGTGACTCGGCCTGCAGACGGCTGTGTGCCTGCCCATCCCCCACCCCGAAGTGTACCCTCGCCTCTCCCAGCCGGGTGGCGACCGCCGCCTGTGCGAACAGAGGGGGCGCTCGGGACATACTCTAAGGCCGGCCGGCCGCGGTGGCGGTGGAGAGCCTAAGGAGGCGCCCCGGCGTCCTTACTGTGCTTGGAGAGAGTCTCAACCGCTCCTGGGCAAGCGGGGGACCGGCTTGGCCCACGAGAAGGCGCGGGTGTGAGGTCTTTGAGCTTTCCTCCCTCCGAGGGTTCGTGGCTCCCTCTTGGGCACCCTGTTCTGCCACCTCCTCTGGGGCTCTCCATTTTTTATCTCGCCCCAGTGGGCCTGAGACAGAGCCCGTGACGGGAGGCGGGGGGGGGGGGGGCGGGGAGGGGGAGGGGGGTATTCTGGGTGAGGTGTATGTAGATGCGGGTGTATGTAGAGCAGGTAAAGTCGGGAAATAAAAGAACTAAAAAAAAAAAATGCTTTATGAAAAAAAAGGCTGTTCCTAGGCTGGTTGGGACCCTCGAGATTTGCTGGGCTCGCTGAGGCTAGTGAAGGCGGAGCCGCTGAGTTCGGGTTGCCGGGTGGGGGTGGAGGGCGCGATACCTGCCCCCTCCTGCCATGGCGAACTCATCCCTCACCTCGAAGAGTACACTCCACGCCCCTCTCCCGTGCACCTTGGAGCTGCACCCGCACCCGACCTCCCTAAGTTGGCCGGCGGCCTCCTCCTCTATGCCCGCTCCCTCTGCACTTCTATGCCCCAGCCCCGGGCTTGGGCACGACCGCGGCGCGGGTGTAGGAGATTGGGGCAGGGAAATGGAACATCCTGCAGGGGAGATCTGGCTAGATGGATTAAGGGAACTCAATTTAGACCGCACCCTGGCTGGCCGTTGAAGAGAAGGAAGGGGATTCGGCTTGGAGGAGCAAGTGAAGAGACGTCCCCTCGTTGGGCCCCCTTGGTCAGTCTTTATGTTCATAAACAGATCTATAGCGTCAACGTGACACACCACAGCCCCAGGTCAAAGTCTTCTCAGGGCATTCTCAGCTGAGTCCTGAGCAAGGTAAAGGCCGCGGGCTCCCGGGGCTGGACGACGCGCGCCGAGCCCCGCCCGGTTATTTCGCTGCAAGAGGGAAAGGGCCTGGGCAGGAACGCAGCGAAGTAGATTCGGAGGCCGGAGGTCTGGCCTGACTGCGGCTTGGAGCTCCTGCTCCAGACCTTCGGTGGCGGCCGCGGGCAGACTCTACTCTTTGGCTGCCCCGCTTCGCACCGCGGAAAAGCAGCACGACCTGCTGCGCTCGCTGGCTGAGAGCCCTAATAAGCCCACCGCACGCCCGAGTGCTCCTCTCGGTCTGGCAACGCAGATTGGGACCGGAAAAAGACCGCGTAGAAGAAAGCCCTGTTGTTTGTTCCTGTGCAGCCCCGCCGCCCCCGCGTCGCTCGCTCCCACGACCCTGTAAGCTCTTTAAAAAACAAAGGCGTCGGGGAAAAGCAATTGGCTAAACGCTCAGATTTGGGGTGCAAAAGGAAGCCAGCTCCAAAGCGGTAGTTCTTGTGAGCCCCACGATCCAGGCTGTGCTAAGGAGGTTCGACCCGGCGTGGGGTGACCGCGAGCCCTTGCGACCTTCTCTCTCGGCGCCTGGCCGGAGCCCGGAACTGGGCCCGAGAGCCCAAAAGGCTTTAGATCACCGATCCTGGACGCCGCCCTCGCCAACGCGGGCAGACTGGTGGCCCTTCCTACCTTTGCCAAGAAATGTAGAAAGGAAAGAGCAATAAATTTCCCTTTCCTTTTTTCTTCTTCTAAAAAAACTCGGTCTATGGGGATCTGGGAAATGGCAAATGGGTCCCTTGTCTCTGACCGCAGGTGTCGCCCGCGTGGTCTTTCCTATTTCAGAAACCAACTCCAGTGTATTGCCCAGGTCTGCTTCCCCGTCCTTTCTCAAGCAGCGGGATCACCTTCCACATCGATTAATTTATTAAAGTTTGTATCAATGCACTTCTAAAGACAGATTACAGCTTTATATGGTAAAAATGTTTTCCCGCGTGTTGTCTTGCCGCCCGGAAACCGCCGGTCTGGGGTGGGGGTGGGGGAACAAGCCCTAGTTCTTTGCCTAGAGCAAAACTCCAGGCTCCCTCTCCCATCTTCCCGTCGGTGCATTTCCTGCGAGACGCAAGAGGGTCTGATTCACTGGAAAAGCATCGCTTGCTGAAATCAATCTTTTTTCCCTCTCTCGGATAATGGAGCTTTCTTCTTTTCTTTTGTCTGAGAATGACTTTTTTTTTTCCACCCAGCACCACAGGTTTTCGAAATCACGGGGAGGAGTAGGGGGATCTGAGCCACCGCTGACCGCAGGACACTTTTGGCGGCACCCGGTTGTGGGGCAATCTCCCGTGGTTGGATGGGAGTCTACCCTGATTGTCTAAGCGGTTCAGGTGCTAAGCTAGGAGAGGTCGTGGCCAGGGCAAGTGAAGTTACTGGGATAGGATAATTGTCACGTTACCGGTGACCTTCTGGCTCCCTTTCCCAGCAGTTCGCAGCGCGCCTCACGAGAACTCTGCTCAGCGACCCAAATCCCCAAGGGCGAGAGCCCAGCGCGCGCCAGCCCAGCCTCAGCTCGGGTCATCCCTGTGGCGAGCCTCATCAGGGCAGCTGCGCGCGGGCCCCTGCACTTCCCGCCACACCCTTTATAGCTTGGCTCCCAGCTCTGGCCTCTGGGAGTGCGCCCGGTCCCGGGCCAGCGGCTGCAGTGGCGAAGGGTAGAAGGCCCAGGCGGCCCGCGCGTTGGGGATTCCGGCGATTGGTGCGTGGAGGTTGGTGTGTGGAATGTTAAAGGCAGAGATCACCCTCAGGGCATCATCTTTCACCGAGTCGCACAAATCCAGCAACTGCAAAACACGACACAAGGGGGACAGGTCAGATGTTCGCACTCTCATAACTATCTAGTGCCAGCGACTTTTCGCTCACCTCCAGGCACCTGCACACGCAGCTGCCAAGAAAACGAGTTTTCCTTTGGATTCTAGAAGACCCAGGAGTGTAGAAGCCCTTGGTCAAGAATAACCCTCAGTAGCCTTTTTTTATCTCAGAAATTCCTAGCTTAGATACCTAGTCCGGGGGAAACTCAGACTTTTCCCGTAAGGCGATGGGAATTTGTCTAGGAACTCGAGACCGAGGTCTGAGAATTTATTAACGTTCCCCTCTTCTCCCTTTCCCTCTTTTCCCCTTTCCTCCTTCCACACCCCACCGCGCCTTTCTTTTCTTTCGGTCACGTCCCCTCCTTTCCATCTCTGGAGTGCCTGGGGTGCCACCCTCTGGTGCTCAGAGGCAACTGACTAGAAAGAGCCTCAGCACAGGTGAACCAGAGGAGACCTGCTCAAGTCTCTGCAGACTAGCACCGCCAGGTCCCTGGCAGGCCACAGGCCACGGCTCTTGAAACTTGGCAAGGCCGCTTGATCAAGAGTAGGCAGCTTTGGTCACCTTCCACCTGGCTGCTGCAGAAAATCGACCTGTTACGCAAACATCAAGGAACCCCTCCCCCATGCCCTTGGGTTGTTCTGGCGGCCTTTGGAAGGCATGGATAAGACATTCGCAGCAGAGGTAGCAGAAAATGCAGGCTAGTGTTCTGAAGAAGCTGCACGGGGGTATACTTTTATTTCATTTTCCGTGGTAGTGTATTTTTTTTTTAATTCTGGGGGGGGGAGTTCAGAGAAACAATAATAGATTGTTTTTCTGAAACTAAACAAAGGCAGAGGGACGCCTTCCTTTCCTTCCCTCTAACCTGCTACACACTGTATTCCTCTATTTTTTCAGTTCTCAGCCCTTCATAAATTTCTTTTGCTCCCCAAATCATAGCAAACCGCCAGGTTTTCATGGTTTATTTTTAAGGTTTTAAAGACATCACTTATACCAACCCTCCCTTTTCCCTTGTGTGATGGTGGTCACTGAGGTGCATTGATAAGACCAGTTTACTTTGCATATGTCCAAAATGCCATTTCAGGTGTTCAGAATCAATGGGGGGAGGTCCCCAAAGTAGGGTGGGGGAGTGGGGAGTAGAGGTAGAGTTGGGGAAAATCAAAACTAGGGTAGCCTAACAATATATCTTGTGCTCTATTACATTAGTAATCTCTAATGAAACACTTCATTCTTCACACACTGTGGTTAAGCATCATCAAATCAGTACTGAAAATACTTTGATCATATTTGCCAGATACACTAAAATGAACTTTCACTGACCAAGATTTCAACGTTCGTAACTAATACTCAACACATCCCTGATTAATCTGTCAACTCTTAATGTCTTTAACCACACAGTTCAAAACCGTGAGTTGTGTATACAGCCCTGAATCTTTCCACATATTACCATATAATTATTCAAGATAATTTTTCCCTTGGTTTTACATTATGAAACTGAACCAACCATATATTCACCAGTAGGGGAAATTCAATGATTTGAATGAGTGTTGTGTAAAACAGAGTATGGGTTTCAGCTGCCTAGTGCCAAATACAGAATTAGGGCTAGAGGTAGAAATTACAGGAGGCAGATTTCTATTCAACATAATACAAACTTTTTAAAAATAAAAATAAGGAACTCAACAGCTGGTGAAAAGGAGAGTTTCTTTGCTCGTAAGTATTCAGAGATTGTCTCCTCCAGTGACACTCTAAATCAGCTATTCTCAACCTGTGGGTCGTGACCCACAGGAACTGTATTAAAGGGCCACAGCATTAGGAAGGTTGAGAACCACTGCTCCAAGTCTAAACTTCTAGGGCTGTCCCAAATACTCCTTCTGGCTTTCTCTATTCTTCATGGACTTCAGCAGGAACCCCCCCAAACAATTAATGTCTAGGTGAGATCAAGTATCATTCCTATTATAATGATTATTTGATTCTGATTCCAGATATTCACCCACCTTTGTTTCTACCTATCAGAATAAAGGACAATAATAATTGCAACCTTTTGCTCATAAAGTATGTACTGGAGCCCTGTACAATGCTGGGCTGTAGAGGTGTAGTGGTGCACACCGCAGGCAGAAGTCTCCTACATCATTAAGCTGGTGAGGTTTTAATGCCTATTTTAAAATGTGGTCTCCTGAATGCAAAATAAACTTGAGAGATGCTAACATACCATTGATTATTATACATGTACAGTTACAGTATAGTATTTTTATCACCACCACGTATTTTTATTTAGGGCTAAGCAAAATATTATTAAAGTTTAGTTTTATTACCAAACATGTGGGTTCATACTATCATCATAAAAATGGCACACACTGTAGGAGTCCCCCTGCCTTGCCAGTTTGTGACCCACTCATGCTAGATAGAGGATCCCAAAAGTATGCACATCTTTACAAAGAAAATTCACCAACCTCTGAAAAATACAAATGACAAGGTGCCCTTTAAAATTAAAAGAACAAACAACAACAACAACAAAACAACTCTAAAGGGCAGACCTAAACATGAACACTATTGCTCTGTGAACAGTAAGTACATAAGATCCACTGGAAATAGCCAGCAAGTAGGGTTTGAGAATATCTCCTTTAATAAAAGCAGCAGTCCATTTAGTCCTCAAGAGACATCGTGTGACTTTGAAGGGGAGATTTATAACATCACTGGGCTTCTCATCTCGACCTAGTTGCGGTACTCAATTTCTTTTTGTTCTCTGCTTAACTATCCCTGCATTTTCCTTATTCCTGTTGGAAGAGTAGAATGGCCTAGGATGGACAACGATTTAAGCGTGGCAGGCTTCTAAACAAACCCCATTTTCCCAACACAGTATGGTATTGCTCAATCTTAAGAATAAATTCTCAAGGTGTGAAGTACCCAGTACTTTTGCAGGGGTACCACAGCCATTCCTAGGATGCTGTGGGGAGGTTTTCCTGCCTCTTTCCTTGTGCCCTATCTCTGTTTATAGCAGCAGATGACCTTATGCTGTTCTCTGTGTAAAATCCCTTACCCTATTTGACCTGTCTCTCAATTACCCCTTTTCTTGCTTGGGCATTGTGGCAGTCTGTTTCTCCATCCCACAAATCTAAGCCAGCTTGTGACTTGCTTTGCCAATAAAATAGAGAGAATGTCACTTTGTAAATTCCAGACCTTAGGCCTTAAGAAGCTTTGCAACTCACATTTTTGCTCTCCCATCACCCTACTCTGTGTAGAGAAAGCTACTCTGTGTACAGAAGCCTAGTCTAGTCTGCTGAAGGATGAAAGGCCATGTGGAAAAGGACTAGGGCCTTGGCGAACAGCCAGCACACACTGACAGGCCATCTTGGGTCTTCCAGTCTTGTTGAACTCACTTGGTTGCAGCCACTGGGGTGATCCAAGGTAAGATCAGCCAAAGCACCATCCAGGCTGCCTGCCCACAGAATTTGATATCGATCACTATTTCTGGTTACAGCATAGGGATGGAAACTTTGAGCCTGACCAAACAAACAAAACCAATAATTGCTATAAGGTATCAATTACACCTTCTTTTCAAAAGGAATCTTTATGCATTCAATATTCATAATCTGAAAGACAGTTAGATATTGGTGGGCTATTAACATAATTTTCTGCCCTCCCTTTTTTTTAGGTAACTTTAGATTTTAGATTAATAGTGAGCTAGAAACTTTAAAAGAAGAAAAAACTTAACACAATTAAGCCACATTTTTTTTTTTAAATCTAAAAGATGTGATGGGCTGGGAAAATGAAGCATCTATATTACTTGTGGCTGTAATATATCACCACTACTTCTGCTGTGACACATAACTGGCATTTCGGTAGGTGCCTCTGGCCACCTTTGTCCACCTTTATCCTCCCCCATGTTATTTCATGCTTGTGTTGTTCAACCTCAGTCCCTGAGGTTTAGATTGTTATTCCAGCCTTTGCCAAGGATCTAAAGGATCTATCTCTGACATGCAATGTCTGTGATTTCCACAGTCCATCCCAGATGACGAGGTAGTAAAGGCAATAAGGTGCAGAAAGGAGCCACCTGGCTGCCCTTGACTTGGCAGCCTGCTACATCTCTAGCATCTTTCTAAGGATGTCATGAAGCAACAGATGGCACTTTACACATGAACCCAAGGTCTTCTGTATTCTTCTCCACACTGCTTCAGACTGGCATTGGCTCAGATTCCAGAGGCCTTTATGATCACTATCTCTTTCAGGACTTTTAATAACTTTGTCCGGTATTACCCCATTTTACAAATGAGGAAACTAAGGCCTACATAATTGAGCTCCTTGCTTCAAGTCACATACCTCATAACTGGCACAACTAGGGTTTTAAATCTAGCCTTCTGCTTCCATGGTCCTGCCTTTTCTCTAGCGCCTCACTCTTTCTAGTCACTGGAGGAAATGCCTCCATCACAGGAGCAGATATATAACCCTTGATGCTCTCCCTAAGTTGGAATCGATAGTCTGTGTGTGCCCAGGCTGGAGAACTTGGGTCTGCCCAGCCCCACTGGCTGGGAATCCCCAAGAGGACCACAGAGTAATGGGGCCTGAGGGATCTCTATGAAGTTGCCACTAGAGAAAGGCACCAAGGACATGGGCTTCAGATCCAGCTGCCTTGATGCAAAGGGTAGGCTTGGAGGCTCTTCCTATAGAAAAACAAAGCTTCTGGTTCAACGCCTCGGAAGCTCAGTGAGTAGAGCACCAGCCACATACACCAAGGCTGGCTGGTTTGAGCCCGGCCCAGACCTGCTAAACAACAATGACAACTCCAACCAAAAAATATCTGGGAGTTGTGGTGGGCGCCTGTAGTCCCAGCACTTGGGAGACTGAGGCAAGAGAATCGTTTGAGCCCAAAGAGTTTGAGGTTGTTGTGAGTGGTGATGGCACGGCATTCTACCCAGGGTGACATAGTGAGATGCTGTCTCAAAAAAAAAAAAAAAAAAA